CTCCTCAAGTTCCCTTCTCTTTCGTTCTCTCTCTGCTTTGCGCTTCCTCGAAGTTGCTCTAGCTTTCTCCTTCTGGCGTAGAGTCGCGTATATTGTTCGACTCATTCGATTGTACGCATGTGGAAAGAATGCTGCGTCTTCTGCACATTCAAGACCTGCCGCTGCGGTGCCACTCACCACTGTTGATATTTTCAGCTCTTCCGGACCACCGTCGCGTAGCGGCAGGTACATCTTAATGTCCGCGTCGGTGTCCGTCAAGCCTTTTAAATAGCTTCTATGTCCATTTGCTGATATATCGACTTCATAGAACGCTGGGTCGTCCTCGTCCTCTTGATCTCCACTCTCCGGGGTGCTGACGTCTTGCAACTCCGCAGCCTTCGTGATTCCATCAGATTGCATGTTGCTTGCGAGGTGCCCCTGCTTTCTTCTTTCGAGCATCTTGCTTACTGTAAACTCCGCTTCCCAATCCACAACTGTTTCAGGTTCGTCGAAATCACCTATCCCGGATTGCCAGCTTTCTACAAGACGAAGCGCATATCGCTGTACTGGGTTTAGGGATGACTCGACGACGTCACGGTCATCTGAAGAGGCTGCTCGCTCCCGTTTGACTCTGTCGCCATCATCTGTTGTAGGAACACTTTCGTCAAACTCGGCCCGCAAACGTTGTTCTTCTTGTTCGGCAGTGGCCGCGGCAAGACGTTCTCTCTCGTCCTCAGCGGCAAGCAACTTCGACGTTACTTCTTGATATTGAAGAGTTTGCAAAGATTTGTCAATCTGGTTTTGGTCCTTGATTCCCGGAGTCGTGGAAGGTAAATATCCTTCAAACTGCCCGTAGGCAGTACTGATGGCAGGTACCACAGACTGGGCATTCGTAGGTTCTTCTGCGCGAGTGTCGTTTTTCGGCTTGCCAGAAGTTGTCTTGGAATGCAATGATTGCCTTTGCGCCAATTCTCTGATCCCATTTCTGACCGGCATACTGTGATCCGAGGATGAGATCCTACGACCTGGTTCCAGGACGCTACTCCTTGAGTTTCCATCGGACGGAGACCGCCGTTTCGAAGCCTCGATGCTATGACTCGCAATGGCCTCTGTCGTAAAGCCGGCATTTGAGATCAAAATAGATTCAAGATTCCGCTTTTCATTGGCGCGACGCAAAATGTTCTCCTCAACGGTCTGCTCACTCACCAAGCGGTAAATGTTTACCGGCTTGGTCTGACCAATGCGATGTGCACGGTCTTGAGCTTGGTTGTCGACTGCGGGATTGTAGTCCGTGTCGTAAAAGACCACAGCATCTGCTCCTGTTAAGTTCAGACCAACTCCACCTGCACGGGTTGTCAGAATCATGCAAAAAATTCGTGAATCTGTGTTAAACCTCTCCACAACTTTCTGCCGATCGTCTGTTTTCGTTGTGCCGTCCAGCCGAAGATATTTTAGACCATGCAAGTTCAGAAACGACTCCAGAATGTCGAGCACCTTCGTCATCTGCGTAAAAATCAGTGCTCGTGAACCAGCAGCTTGAAGCTTTCGCAACAAACGATCAAGAATTTGCAGCTTGCCACAGTCCCACTGAATCAGACGGGTATCTGGTATTGTAACCTTGCTACGTACTTCAAAAGGTCTGAACAAGCACTGAAGTTGATGCGTCGCCCGGTTCAGCTGTGTGAAAAATTCTGTTGCAGATAGGTGGAAAAGATCGTCGTCTCGATAGCGAAGCTCGACAGTAGGCGCAGATGCTCTTGTTATACAGCAAACGAACCGATCCGCGAACGGTTTGCCGGTTCTGGCCACGCTCTCTAGAGTGCGCAATAGAAGGGAAGCATTGGCAGGGAGAAAGCGGATCGCCTTTGCATGACAAAATCGTAGACCATCTACAAGAGATGAGGGATTCATTGTGCATGCATCACGCAAATCTTGACCGAGCAATGCGTGTTGCCTGATACGCATTGCAGACAGTTGGGCTTGATATCGAAGCTGAGAGCGCCGAAAGGATACCACTCTATCGCTTGCAGCTCGACTGGGATTATATCCGAGCATTCGCCAATCGTCTGGAACGTCACATGATGATTTCTTCGTAAGAAGTTCATTCCGAATGCACGATTCTGCAGAAATCTTCAACGCTTCAGCAGCATGCCATTTACCTGGCCACTTCTGCTCAATGGAACAGAGATCCAAACAGAGAAGGTCGAGATTGATTGTCCTTTCTGGTGGTTTCGAAAGAGCTCTCGCCACTAGTGCGGGAACGGGATAGAAAACCGGACGCATGGAGAGAGGAGACAGAATCTGACGTCCTTCGAATAGATCAGGGTGATTGCAGACCTTTCGCAATTGCATTAGAATGTTCATGACGCCGAAGAAGTCTCCATGCTGTAGCGTATCACGAATGTCGCTGCGGGCCATAAAATCCTCATACAACTGCCGCTGCCGCTTGCTTAAAGGGCATTTCACAACGTGTTCAAACTTTGGCGGTAACCCTTTTTCAACGTCTGACTTCAATCTGCGCAATAAAAACGGGCGAAGGACGTTGTGTAGGTTTGCTACGATTTCTGATTTTTCACCCCGGGATTCATCCTCTGATGCAGCTTCGACGACTGGTTTCGAAAACCAGTCTCTAAACTCTGAATGGCTTTCGAATAAATCGGGCATCAAGAAGTGCATCAATGACCAAAGCTCCATGACAGAGTTTTGCAAAGGAGTTCCCGTAATCAGAAGCCTGCTCTGAGATGGAAAGCTCAAAAGGGTTTGCCATCTCTGTGATTCGAAGTTTTTGATGTTGTGCGCCTCGTCAAGGATCAGATACACCCATTTTTTCCTTCTCAGGGCTGTGGCGTCTTGCACAGCAAGAGTGTATGACGTAATACACACATGAAATGTGTTTGGCTTGGTCCAGCCCTGACGCTTCAGCTTTCTTTCCTTCATACTACCGAAGTAGGTCAAAATCTTGAAGCCGGGAAGCCATTTCTTGAACTCAACTTCCCAATTGACCATAACTGAAGTAGGGACAACTATCAGGTGAGGTCCCCATACCCCCTTTTCGACTGCCAGCCATGCCAAGAGCGAAATAGTCTGTATAGTTTTCCCTAATCCCATTTCGTCAGCTAGGATACCGTTCAATTTCTGCTTATATAGCGAGATCAACCAGTTCATTCCAGTGCGCTGATAGTCCCTCAATCTTCCTCTAAGTAGTTCCGTCGGTTCCTTGATTTCAGATACACCATGATTTGACACAGGCGTATGGACTGTGTTGGGACTTGGCGCACTTGAGTTGATACCGTCGTTTCCACGTTGCTTGCTCGGTTTTGCGAAGCTCACCGACTTCCCTGTGCCGCTCCCTGAACCGGATATCAGGTCTCGGTGAACAGGTTCCCCTCGGGCTCGATAATCTTCTACAGCACCGGCAATGGTCAGAGAGCTTTGCGGACAAGAGATTGGATTTTGTGGTGGTTGCTGATTCTTCCCCATGGAAGTTGGCTCACCATCCTCTATTCTTGGGTCTGTGTGCAGCTGGCGGTTGACGCGCGAAAATCTTGAGGTCTGTAACAATAAGCTATCTCGACTTGAAGGTGCTCTCTCATCCTCGGCCTTTGACAGTGGCTTCGCGACATCTGAAAAACTTCTCATCTTCGTAGGGGGATTTTTTGTCCCAGTTGAGTGTCCATCAGAGCGTGCGTACTGCTCCGTGTCAGCTTCATACGCAGCTGGATCAATGCCTTGGGCCCTCAAAAGCTCTGCCATATTCATATTTGCTTCACTCTGCAGATTTTGCACTTCAGTGTCATTTCGTACCTCCTCACGCTCAGCCTTCTCAATCGTGCGTTCATCGTCATCTTCGTCGTCCACAGCATCGCCAGTGACATCGTCTCCGTCTTCGTCTGAATCGTCGCCCGTACCATCGTCTGAATTGTTATCGTAAAGCCTTTTGTCTGACAGGTACTGGTTTGGGTCGATACCTTGCAGCCGAAGCAGGTTCTCTATACTCATATCAGCTTCACCTTCAAGTTCTTCGATTTCGTTGTCGTCTCGTGCACCGTCTGCTTCTGCTGCAACCATCGTAGCTTCATCGTCTGCTTCTTCGGAATCCTTCATGTCCCAATCTATGTTCTCCTCGCCACTGGTACAATCCGCGACCTCTGAATCTTCTTCGCTTTGCGGCTCCGGGGATACAGGATCAAGTTCTGATGGACTGCCAGAATATCGACCTTCCGCAACAGCTGAACGTTCTGATGTCTCCTCTTCACAGCTCGCGGGTTTGCTGAAACCAGAGAGAACTTGCTTTTCTCCCACTTTCTCCCGGGCATCTTCCTTTTCCACACCATCGGGTTGAGTTAAACTCTGTGCAAGCACACTCGAATACTTCGCAGTCCGCTTCAACAGATTCTTGAGTTGCGACTTCCGTGCCTTTGAAAGTTTTGCTTCTTCTAATAACGAATTCTTGTAGTCTGCGATTTCCCCAATTTGGCTCCAGAACTTGCGCACATCCCTGGCCACAGCACTGGCCAATTTCACCAATCTCTGATGTGCTTCAACTTTCGCGCGCGCTTCTCTTTGGGATCGCTGAGTGTGGAACTGGGCAACCATCTTGGAGACTTTCTTTGCCATTTGAATTTTCCATTTCCTTTCTTCTCGGAAGTCGGCAGCCATCCACAACACTTCGTCTAAAAAATAATCGTGGTACGTTTTATTTCGCTGCGCTTCCGGTTGCTTTGGAAGACGCTCTCGTGCAAGCTCCGCATTTTTGCGATTTATTGCCTGAGCTCGCACTATGATCGACTGCTCATGAATTAGCTTCTCCGGAGGATCTTGTTCCATCACGAGCTTTAACGCAGGCAACGGCGGCATCTGTGGTGGTGCTTGCCTTCGCCGCCCTTTCTCAACGCGCACGCCACGTGAGAACACTGCAATGTCATCGCTTGGAGGAGGAGGAATAACTGTCTCCACAGCTCTTGAGGCGGCCTCACGAGCATTGATTCTTTCTTGAATATCTGATGCACGCTGAGTTTCTTCATCTCGAGTGGCAATCACTTGTTCACGGAAGCTGAGTAATCGTTCAAGCAAAGGTTTCACGGAATGGACAAGCGCTCCACTTCGCCATGGGTCATTGGGTTCTTCTACCGCGGTGGTGCGCTGCCTTTTCCGCGGCCTGCCGTGGACAGTCATGGATCAAGAAGAGCAACCAGGACCAATGCGTACTCACCTCAAAGCCGACCACTTCGATAAAGTATAAAATGCAAGAGAATTACGCAGTCGATGAGCAGGCATACAACAAAATACCAGGTAGCGCGGTAATAAAGCAAAAGACAACAATCGTCAGTACTCCTTTCTTGAGAATGTATAAAAAGGTTGAAGCGGCGGGAAAATCGAATTCAAATTGGCGGATCTATAAAGCAAAATGCAATTTTGCTTCTTGGTGCAAATTCCTGATAAGGATGACGGCAACTTACAAGTCTGCAGAGAGGATTTCACGCACTGCGGAATAGATAAGTCGAGATGGAACCAAACCCATTGAGCGCAAAGGCTCTGCCATGCGGCGGCAAAGCGGGGGCAGCGACCAACTCCTGTTACTGTAATGCGACGGAAAATGAAAAGAAAATTGAATCTTCGACAAGACGGTGATTAAAAGAATTTTGGAAGGCGCTGGCGCAGAGAGTTCCGCGACGGCGACTCGGAAAAGAAAGCTGATGATGTAGGAGAAGAAAGAGAAAGAAAACTGTGAGGAGTAGAAACGGTATTGAAGATAAAACGGCAGGCTGACAGCAGCGTTGTGGGGCAGGGAATAGGCAAATCGCGGTTTGCGGGCACGGAATGAAAAGGGGAAAGTTCAGAATAGGTTCAGACGAGTGCGGCGACGACGCATCCGTTGCCTCCGACAAAATCTGATGGAGTTGGGAGGTTGAAAGGCAGAGTTGAAGGAAGGAAGGATACTTGAAACGGCGAAGTACACAGCTGGAAGGTCGGCAGGGAGAAGCGCGTCTCGCGGTGCTCGCAGCGCGGCGGTGGAGGATTGTGTGATCCAAAGTGGCAGATCTTCAAAATTACAATGATTGGTGAGATCAACGCCTGGAGGAGTCTACACGTGTCTTTTGGATATTACGGCGCCCTTACTCTGCCACAGTCCACCCGATTTTTTTTGGCGGCAGAAAGAAAAGTAGTTTTGAATTTACTTTATGCCGGCATCTGTCTCGTTCCCATGTGCATGAGCTGCCAGCTGACCTGGCCCAGCACCGGAGCAACTCTCCGGTTTCCCGCTTTTCCTTCTTGTCCAAGTGTAATACGTGTACAGTGGGTCCTACACATTAGTGCCGCTTTTGTTTGTGCCACCCTCCCAATAGTGCAGGCCCAGACGCACAAACACGAACGTGCCACGTGTCGTACAGTTCCGGCTGTTTTGCTACCAATGTCGCCATGGATGTTTTGGAGACGGTTCAGGCGGTGCAGAATCCGCCTGAAATGCAATCAAGTGATGAAGATGGGACAAGTGATGAGGATGAGAGCGCAGAAATGCAATACAGGGGGGGGGGGACTCTCATTAGTGCCACATTTACTAATGCCACCCTCCCATTAATGCCGGCCAGACCCACGAACACGAAAAGTGCCACGTGTCACACGGGTCCGGGTGTTATGCTGCCGTCCGTCCATCGCGTGTGAAAGCATGTGAAAGCGGTTTCTAAGCCCGATCCTATTCACCGACCAGAGTTCACAGGCCTTAGCTTGTCCTCCTTATGGATCCGGTTCCGGAAATAAAAAAAGAAACACGCAATCAAGTGATGAAGATGGAAGCGTAGAGGACGCGAGAGAGAGAAGGACTATACCCTCTGTCGTTGAGATTGCGGAATTGTTTGGAGGGCTGGAAGTTTTGACGACTGAATGCCAAGTTTCAGACGCTCTATCGTATCTGAGGTCGTCAAAGCGTGCGTTTCTCACTGCAAAACACGACAGAGACCCAACGCGGAGTAGGCAGACGCTAATTACCGAGTGCATCATGTGACGACGTCACCGATTAATGCCGCCTCCCAATAGTGCCATTTTTAGGGTCTCGCACGGGGCGGCACTAATGAGTAGGGTCCACTGTAGAGAGAAAGACACCAACACGGAGCAGGCAGACGTTAATAATTACCGAGTGCATGCAGATAGATGTGACGACGTCACTTACTAATGCCGTCTCCCAATAGTGCCCATTTTTGGGGTCTCGCACGGGGCGGCACTAATGCGTAGGACCCACTGTACATCGTCTGATCCGTGTTCACACGTGGACAAGACAGATCCGAGTCTCGATCAAGGGATTATACGCCTCTTTATGGCCGGGGTATCCTTTCATCTACTTGTCCAATTCTCTGTAGGAGATACGAGGTTTCATGCTCACTTCGCATGTGTCTGAGGGCGAGAAACGGGTTTTTTCCGAAAGGATATCATCGTTTTCCAGGTCTACTCCACGCTGAGCAATCGTAATACTCTGCCGAGTTTTCCGCAATTGAGCGGGCTTCCTTTCGATTTGGGAAATGAGAAATAGCAGCTTCCTATCAAACCACGACAATTGCAATTCATCATCAGATCAGTCTTGCATTGTCCGTTCCATCCGTTTTTATATTTTTATATGATGAAGCGTACCCGAAAGACCTCTTCTGAGCGCCTTGTTAAGCGACCACGCCAAAATGACGCCTTATCGCAAGTACCTGCGCAGACATACTGTCGATCAAACGAGATTCTCTCTCTGGCAGCATCCCACTGGAGGAGCGAATCCCCGAAGGAACCTAAGCAAGTGTCACCCCTGGACCTGACAATTCTTGTATATCGTCAGCACATAACGAGCCCCAACCGAAATGGCGCATTGGCTTCGTTAGACGACCAGGCATACTTTCAATTGCACCTTTGGCCTGAGTTTTGTAGTCTGGTCGCCCAAGTCAAGCAAAAAGACGCTCATCATGACTGGGTGGTCCTCCAACCGTTTGTTATGTCGATGGCCGCGATGTTTAACTATCGCCGTGCATATCACCCGTCTCGCGGGGCTGAATTGTTGCAATTGCTCGACAATGATTTAGACGCTTTATTAGTTTTTGTTGAAGCATGGTTTCGGTTTGATCTTGAGAATCTCACAAAGGAAGAGCGATGTCTTCGTCTCAAGTTTTTATGTCACCTTTTTCGTGCGTTGGATTACGAATCGGTCCAAAAGGCATTACTCCCCCTGCTGTCCTTGCCGGTGTGGGTACATCTGTCAGAACAGTCATGTCGACAACAAACTGACCGCTTTCCGTTTCTTCTCAAACCACTCTCAAGGCTGAAACGTCGCGCCCGAAAGCGGGATGCTGCGCAAAAAGCGCCGCTGGTGGAGATGGCTTTATACAGTATCATTAGGGAACTCGAGAATGCGATTCTGAAGTGTGATACTGAGTCGTTCAACGACCCCATTGCTATAATTGCTGAACTTTTATCCCTTCTTTCTGAGATGCTGTCACAACTGCGTTTTCGCCGCACGCTTTTGCCACTGCTTTCTGATCGCTTCACACTTCCACTTGTTAAAGGACTGTCTCTGACATTGACCGTAGATTCGGTAGTCTCAAGTCCAGGTTACAACGACTTTGCTCGCGTTCTGGATCAATTTGCGTACTACGTCACGTTTCCACTGGACCCGGTTACCGGCGACTCTCTTCCGCGAGATTCAATTCGTGCTGAACGGGCTCGTCGTTTGCTGACCCTGCAAAGAGTGTCACACTCTATCTCTCATCGACAAAGTTTTCCAGCGACCTCCCCGCTTCGGAAGCTTCCAATGGCCAATCATAGCATCATCGGCCGCGAAGATGTTTTGCAGTCTGTATTTCGGGACTGCGAGGAAGGTGTGATGAATGAAGTCGTCGAAGGGTTGGGCATGAAGTCCTTGTCTGCAATAATATTTGATGATGAGAGCAACCTCCCTCCTCTTAAACGTACTCGCCAAGCGAGACGAAACCTTCTGATTGCAACGATCTCCACCTATTGCGCTGCATCGAAGGATATTTTGGAGGCTTTCAAAACCTTTCCTTTGATGGTGAATGAAGACGATCTCTGGGGAAGTTCAGGCGCAAATATGTCCAGATCGACGTCAGCCCTGCCCGTCCTCAATTTAGAATATCTAAACTTGACGGACTACTTATGGCGGAACATTTCTTTATTCAAGTTAGAGTCATCATGGGCTGTCCGCGAAGATATAGAGGCTGATGTGTTGAGAATGCAGCCGTCATTCGATGTGAATGGCGTGAAATTCGATGGGTGGGCAAAAATGGCTGCTCCAATCAAGTCTATCGACGTTACTGAAGTGGGTAATCAACGTCTTGATTCACCTGCTCCAAGTCATGTGAAGGTGAATGTCGAAATAAACCTCGGGCATTGTTCTGGCCAAGCCCGCCATGAATGGAGCCATTTGCAACAGCATGAAGTCATTTTTCTACTCAGGTTGCAATCTCCATCTGGAGGAAGTCCAGAACAAGAAAAGGATGGTAGCAACTTTGAAGCGTTTTCAAACTGTCAAGTGCGAGGATTTGTTACTGGAACCCTTGAAGATATCAATGGCGAAAAGAATGAAGGGACAAAGTGGATCGCTGCGGGATCGGTAATACGTTTAACGGGTACTGTGGACAGTCTCCAGTACTACTACGATTCGCAAAAACAAGCGAGCAGCACAGAGGATGTGTTCAAAGGATTCAATATTGCAGTCAGACGGCGCGCACAGATCAACAATTCGTTTCCAGTCCTGTCATCGTTGCGAGCGCTACTTCTTTCGGAAGGCCCTGTGTTGCCACGATGGCTGGAGGATGTCTTCCTTGGACGGTCGGGAAATACCCCTACAACTGCAGGTTGCACAAAGGTACCAGCTACGGACGAGTTCACGGATTTTGCAGATACTTTCGTATCTGCCGATCATGTGCTCCAAAGCTTTCCATACTCCAAAATCGACAGGCTGAATGTGAAGATAAAGTCTTTCCAATCCGACACAAAGAGACTTGGTTTTAAGCTTTCGTTCGGCACCGATCAAAGTGGGGGCAATGTTGTCGAAATGGAGCCGTACAGGCTGGAATCCAGGAGACCAATGTTGGCAGTGAGATCCAAGCAAGTCAGAAACTCTTTAAACAAAACCTTCTTCAACATAAACCAAGTCGCCGCAATCCGTTCGGGAATATCGACGGGCCTCACGCTCATCTCGGGGCCTCCCGGTACAGGGAAGACGTCCTGCGTTGTTCAAATACTCTCGACCCTGTATATGACGCAAAAGCAGGAGCGTATTCTGCTGGTAACTCGGACGAACCACGCCTTAAACGACCTGATCCGCAGAACATTGTTGCGGGGTGTCAGTCCGTTTAGAGTCTTACGACTTGGGCAAGGTGCCGCCGAAGGTGCTGCTGACAAATTACTTTCGAAAGATGGACGTGTCCGTGCAATGCTTGAGAGACGGATGGAGTTGCTTTCGTTGGTTGCTAAACTCGCGACATCTTTGGATCCGCATGCCGCAGAGACAAATTGGTCGTGTGAATCAGCGGTGACGTACTTTAAAGACGTTGTAGAAAAGGAGTGGGAACGATTTTTATGCGCTGAGGACATGACCTGGGCAAATTTCCCGTTCCGAAAGTTTCTTGAGGTAACTGACGACAAGAAGGGTGTACAGGAAGGGAAGCATGGTGTCATCACAGGCGGTAACCTTGCGAATGAATTTCAAGCTATTGCCATGATGTTTGAGGAATTGAAGGAACTTCGATTTCTCGAAGTGCTCCGAACCAACAGACAAAGAGGCAACTATTTAATCACCTCACACGCTTCTATAGTTGCTATGACATGTGTACATGCTGCAATGCAAAGAGACGATCTCATCTCACAGCGCTTTGCATATGACACGCTTATCATGGAGGAGGCTGCCGAATGTCTGGAAGTGGAAGCGTTTCTATCTTTGCTCTTGCAGAAACCAGGACGGCTGAAAAGAGTGATACTTGTGGGAGACCATAAGCAACTCCCTCCCGTTGTTCAATATTCAGCGCTACTGCAATTCTCGAATATGGGACAAAGTCTGTTCGCACGGCTTGTACGCACAGGAACTAAATTTATTCAGCTAGATCATCAAGGGCGGTCAAGACCATCAATAGCTGATCTTTTCAGGTGGAGATATCCAAAGTTGCAAGACATGGAATTTATTCGCCAAGAAAGCACCTTCTCAGAAGCAAATCCAGGGTTCCTACACACTGCCCAGTTCGTTGACACTGGTGATCAGACTTCTGAGTCTCAACCGCTTCCATACTTTTATCAAAACGTAGCAGAGGCCGAATACGTCGCCTTCACATTCTTATACATGCGAATGGTGGGTTATCCGGCCGACCGAATAGCGGTTCTTTCTACGTACAATGGCCAAGTCCAGCTTCTCAAAGAGGTGATCTCAGCACGCTCATCACAGTTTGGAAATCTCGGGTGCCCAGCTGTGGTTTCCACCGTAGACAAGTTCCAGGGTCAGCAAGCGGACTATGTCCTTCTCAGTCTCGTCAGAACGAAGCATCTCGGTCATTTCAGAGATGTGCGAAGAATAACAGTTGCAATGTCCAGGGCCAGGTTCGGCTTGTATCTGTTTGGGCACCTGCCTTTACTTCAGTCAAGCATGGAATTTAAACCGGTCCTGTCGCAGCTGAACAATAACTACAAACTAGTTCTTGTGGCAAACGAGACCTTCCCTCAAAAAGCACGCCAAGAGTATTGTGAAACTGAAACGGATGCTTCTCTTCACAGAGAGGTCCACTCTCCAGCGGACATGGCATCAATTGTCTCTCATCTCCACGAAGTGGCACTAGAAAAGAAACAAGACAGTGGGTAGAAACACGAAGCATCGTCTTTGGTCTTTTTATACATAGAAAAAATACAGATGAACCACTGGCAGTGTTTCGATCACCACGAGCCGGACTCGAATCACACACTCGTCATTCTGCCCTTCGTTTGGTTTTTGTTCAATCCAAATAGCTCTATGGACTTATGTATTCTCGAAAAGAGATGCGCTCCAAGAGGGCGGGGATACCAGAATCAACTCCATTTTGTCGCATATGCGATAGTAAGCGCACAAGCAGGCCTACATTTCGGGAGAACGATTGCTCAAAGGCACGCAGTGTATCCGTAAACGAGTTTTGTTGAAGCGCATCAACTGTCAACCCCTGCACGAAGTCGCTGAGACTAAAGCAGGATGCAAAGATGCCATTGAGTCTTGCATTGATTTGGCTCTGACCTACGAAGCACTGAGAGAATATGTCATCCATTAGGGCTTCGTGGGTCGAATATATGACATCGAAAAACGGTTTTCGAGGAGGCGAGGGTTGCGTGTTTTCTCGTAGATGATTGTCTAATAAAGTGAGGAGTCTGTTAATCTTCGGTTGGAGTACTTCGACCTGCAAGTACCACTCGAATCCTCCAAGAAAGATAGCCATCCGTCGGCGCAGTTCACGGGTCCGGACAAGACATGCGGTCCTCTCGCGTCGGATTTTCAGCGAAGAGGATTTTTTCAGCTGATGTTCCAAAAGCTTAATATTAGCATATGTATCGCGTAATTCGCAGCCGACGCGTCTCACGTTAAATGCTATTGCAAACACGTCACAGTAAACAGATGCCTTCGACGCCAGGACTCGACTCTCAGCGAAACCAAGCGTAAATTGTGGCACGATATCACCGGCCGCGGTGACATGCAATTTTAAAATTGAGTCCCAGTGCGGAGACTTTTCAGCCAGCGCAGCATTCTCATTGACAAAGTCGTCGAACGTGTAGGAAAGGATTTCCGAAATTGATCGTTCGACGTGTTGTCTCTCGCGTGGCTCAAGATCCCTGCTTGTAAGTAGAGACGGTTTCGCACGCAGCTCGTCAAAAAACGATCTCCAAAACGCGGAATCCCCTAGTAAAAGGTATTGTCTGAGCAGGATGATGCGATTGCGTATGCGGCGGAATGGAAGCATTTGTGATAAGCGTTCTGCAGCTTCTTCCCTCCACCTGAAACTCGCTGCTTCGATTTCGAGTTCTGCCGAGATAGGGTTGGTTAGAATTTCACCAAGCGCACCGATGTTGCCGGGGTTATCCAGTGGTTCGCGACGCTCTTTTGCGATAACAATACGGCACTTGCGAACGTTACCAACGAACAACAATCGGTTTGCTACGGCGGGGCTGATAAACTGCGGAAGCCGAGCCGGTACGACAGCAGGCTCGGACTCCTCAGAAATGAAAAATTGATGCAGGGGATCCTCGACAATGGCAGCGGTGAACCATTGATGGATGTGACTGCGCAACAGAACGACTAGGTCGTTCCATATTTTGCTGAGGACTTGAAAAGCAAGGTCTGTCGGCGGAAGAGGCGTGACAGTGCGTTGAATTTCATCCAAAGCTTGCGGAAAGGACAGCGGTGGAGCGGATAACAAAATTTTGCAGAGCAATTGATGGACGCATGCTGCAGCTGCTCGCTCGTCGTAAGGGGAATCGAGAGCGGGTTGGTAGTAGGGCTGTTGGCAAGACTGGTAAAGTCGCTTGCGGCATGGAGTGATCAAGTGGCGCCGGACGGATTCGTTGAGGGCAAAAGCGAAGATGGCTTCAGTTTTCAAGACGGACGCGTTGAGAAGGTCGGAGATGGTTTGCAATGCCTGGAAGAGCGAGACGGGCGCCGAAGGGTCTGATGAAAGGGGCGTGGGGTTGTGAGATGAAAAAGGTGAGGGCAATTCTGAGGCCTTCGCGAGAGAGGGGGTCATCTTTGCATGTTGAATTTCGCTGACAGCCACTCCTGTGAGGAATGTGATGAAAAGCGGAGTGTGTAGTAGAGGAGGCCAAGTGTGACATGGGCGATTGGAAAAATATCTGCGGAAGCGAGGGGGGTATCTCAGTCATATCTGCTGGTAAAATCGTCGGAAAGTTTTCAAAAAATAATAGACAACAAAAATCTCATCCATGTCTGTTCCGTAAAAACTATTTTTACTGACCCGCTAACCCTCAGCGCCCTCCTCTCACGGGTCCGAGTGTGCTTACGCTATACCTTCCTCTGGTAGCCTGTAGTGCGCTCCCGGCCCTCACCAGTCCGTCTTGATCACCCCTCCCCCCCCCCCCCCCCCCTTTACCACTCACCCCCACCTCCCTTTGCCCCATCCTTTCCGTGACATTATGTTTGGGGCTCGGTCCCGCAAGCGGAAGGTCTCCGAGCAAGTCGTTCCGGGCACTATTGAAGATCCTGCAATCGTCGCAAGACGGGCCCCTATGGGCAGTGCCTTCTCGCCCGAGGTTGCAAACCTGTTCGATAACCCAGATTATCCTATCCCCAACTTTCAGCAGGTTTACGATCTTATGCGACTTCCTGATAAAGGTCTGAAACTCGAGGATCGTCGATGGCGAATCGTCTCATATTCCAAATGTTTCGTTGGAAGCGAGGCTGTCGAATGGATGATCGATAACCTCGGTCTCGACCGTCCTACCGCCGTCTCCACTGGCCAGCGTCTAATGGACGCAGGCATCATGCATCATGTCACTCATTCCGAGCCATTTTGTGATGGATACTATTTTTACCGGTTTCAAGAAGACGAGGAATCAAACGTCCTCAACATGAAGCGAGTCTGGGACAGTGCTATCCCAACAGCTCGGGCTGTAGATGTATCCAAGAACCTGCTCACCCGTTTGGCTCTCTTGTGTGAAGAACATCGGAAAGGCATTCTGGCTGGAAAAGAACTTTCCAAAACATCCTCTTCCCCTACAGATGCATCACAATCTACACCCGTCTTGAAAGGCCCTCCCACGCCATCTTTTATCCAGCATACCTCCACTGCAGCTGCCGCCGCCGCTGCTATATCCCCCTCTCTAGCTCGATCATTTTCGACTCCCCTAGCCTCCGCCGCGCTATCATTGACCTCAGGGCAGGCCGTCACTCCGCCATTACTCGGCCCAAATCGTTCCTCTTCGTTTACTGCTGCGCCATCATACACCATGAGTGATGATGTCGACTACACGGCGTTGGCGAAAAGCGAGTCATTCCGGCAATACACTCTCATGGCAGCAGAACTGCAACGCGTTCAGTTGGTCGCCTTAAATCAAGAGGAACGCATCGCCTTCTTCGTCAATTGTTACAACCTGCTTTGCTTGCATGGATACGTTTCGCACGGCCCGCCCACGAATTTTGTGCGAAGATACATGTTCTTTCGCGGGCTATCGTACCGTATCGCAGGTCTTGATATGACACTGGATGATATTGAGCATGGTATCCTTCGCGGAAACAAAAAGCCCCCAATGATCAAGTGGATGCAGCAGCTGCGACCTTCAGATCCGAAGTGTCAGCATGTGATCACCAAGAGGGATGGAAGGATTCATTTTGTAATTTCTGCCGGAACGCGATCTGACCCTCCAGTACGTATCCTCGATGGCGACAATCTACAAGAAGAACTCTATGAGGCGACGATTGAGTTTTTGAGTTGCTCAGTAAAGGTGGACATAGAAAAACGAGAGGTCACGCTGCCGAGAATATTTCTTTGGTATGCAGAAGACTTCCCAACCCCAGAAAAGAACCTACTGCTCTGGGTTGCAAGATACCTTCCAGCAGAAACCTCTCATCAACTTGTATCGCTTGTTTCGGGATCAGAAGCTCTCCCAATGATTGTTCACGAGAACTTTGACTGGTGTAATGCAGAGGCTCGTTTCAACGCCTCTGTCGTTCGAAAGAAGAGACGACGGCTTGAACGGGAAAAACTTGACGCCGAGCAAGGTGCGCTACGGAGGAGTAGTGATAACTTGACCCCATTCCTTTCGCCGGATCTATTTCACGCTCAACCCCCTCAAGATCTAGACGCAATTCTTGCTGCATCCAGTGGGATGCCACTTCCAGTCACTAATTCTGGGCGCGTTCGACCGGACTTAGCAGCTCTTCTAGCCTCCAGTAGTGTGAACTTACCATCACCGGCAGAGGTTCGGTCTGAGTCTGCTGATCAATGCAACGCGTCAAAGACGAACGGGACTAGTACAGTCGAAGAAGAACAGTCTAAAGACAGGTGAACCCCAAGAAAATATTTACGAGAACATGTGGCCTATTCCCGCAGATATACCAACGTCCGTCTTTCAGGTGTTTAAAGAAACTGCTCATTGAAATTTTCAAGTAAAACGACATATCCTAATATTTCCAGACAGAGAAACCGTCAATGCGTCTGTCGCGACTGCTTTTCTCCTACATTAGCGTCCCTTTCATGACAACGTTATGAGCAGCGAAGGATAGAAAGCGAGCACAACCATCTATGCACAAACTAGAGGATTCCAAGAAACAGGAGTCCGAAAATCCGGGGACAATCACATCTTTGCAAAGATGTGTAAACGTCCCCAACCCATGACTCGTTTCCTCGGTCTGACATACAGCGGCTAGAACTGCGGCCCAAGCGAGCCCAACTCCGCTCTCAAAAACACTACTCATGACAACTCTACTGTTACTAGAAGCCGCAATCTCGCGTAGCTTAAAGATATCCCGGAGCAAACCTATCACTGCTGGTTTCACCACTAATGCACCACAATCTGCCGAGTTAGCTAATGAGGCAATTTCCCGTAGATTACAATCAGAAATGCTCTCATCTAAGCCCACGCGAATACGTGGCCCGGTATCTGAGTCTAATAGGTATGCTTCGAGTTCGCTGCTTTCTCTGAACGGTTCTTCTAAGAAATCGATCTTGCTGGACTGGGTCCCAAGGCAAGATCTGATCGCGTCGAATTGTTCTTTGGTCCAGGCCCGGTTAGCATCAAGACGCACGATGCGTCCTTTTTTCTCTGCCTCAAGAACCGTTGCTTTTAGGATTTCGCCTTCTTTTATTGCTTCTTCTGTGACTCCTACCTTCACTTTCAGAGTCTGAAATGGACTTTGTTCCATGAAGTTAACAAGCCTTTCCTTGCATTGAGAATGGGAAGTGACATCAACATTTAGAATGGACCGCGGCAACACACCATTCAGTGGAAGGCTTCGGCATGGCCTCTCTAGGAAAGTCTGGTCTATACTGCAGGCAACCATCAGATGCCTGATGAGGCTTTTCAAACTGATTTTTTTGAATTGACTCAAGAGATGTAGAGCTGCAGAAGTAAATGCGTTCTTAATCACCGGTGACATAGTCCGTAAGGTCATATCCATGTTCAGCAACACACAACATTGATGTCCAAATAGCCCTGGCGTGACATGCAAAACGTGCGACAGACACTGAACTTCCGTCAGGCATTTTTCAATATTCTGCGTGTGCAGGCCTGGGAGTGGACAAATGTCTCCCACTCCAGTGACACCATTGTCGTCCGATGACAGAGCTAACAACATACCATCACGTTGATGTACGTTGATCCCGTTGACCTTCATCGGATTTTTGAGGGGCAATGAATATCTAAGTATCCTCACTGCAAGAATCTTGACCGTATCATCGGAGGTTGAGGGACGGAAATTCGCTTCAAGGAATTGAGAGATAGAATGATTACACTCGGCTGGTTTTTGCATTATGACATTGTGTCCAGATCCTATAACTGCCTCAGTCGAGAAGTTAACAAACAGCTTCCCCATTCGCGTGGAGAACGCTGCATACTTCTCGTCACAATCGCCATGTACATAGAGTGTTGGAACATCGAGAACATCGAGGGTAGCGGAATTGGGCTCTGGATACCTTGCCATGTAGAGGGCAGCTTCTGTCCAGGCCGTTTTGTGACTATCAAAGGTAATGTGGCGGTGCGTCAACATGTAGGTGAATCTGTCAGTATCTGGAAAATGATGCCACATCGGTGAGGCATACCAAGAATTTAAGAGCCAATCCCCGAAATCCATTGAAGACTTCACGGTCTGGAGTCTGGTCGCGATGCGCTCCCCATCTGCTGCTCTCTCTCTGCGTTCTTTGTCGTTCATCGGAGGGGGAGCTGAGCTGATTAACAGCAGAGCCTGCAGCCGAAAACAGCGCAGAGAACGGCGAGACAGGTCATCGGCTATTTCTAGAGCCAGGCGACCGCCGAGAGAGTATCCACCGATGATGAGAGGATAGTGAGATCCCTGGTCCACCGCAAAAATGTCTGCCAATGCCTTTACAAGAAGAAGTGCAGCCTCTCGAAGGCTACGAGGACGGCAATCAACAGATTTACCATGGAAAGGAAGATCTGGAATAATAACTCTGTAACCATCCCGAGCAAGCCTATTCCCAAGGGAAACCATGTCTTGGAAATGACCCATCCAGCCGTGAAGCAACAGGACTAAGCGGTGGTGAGGATGCAAGTGGCCATCACATGGCACACAAATTTGGACAAAGTGGATTGGCTTAGTAGTTATCGACCATTGTCGAGGTTGTTGATCGCGCATTTTGGAGAAAGGAAAGTTCTAAGAGTGACCAACTGCTCTCACGAGGGGCATGCGTGCAGGGCGGTCTGACTGCTCAGTTTTCACAGGACGGCGTGGCGATGTGCAGAGTGCCGTAAAGCGGCTCTAATCTGCATTACTTCTATTGATGATTGATTCAGAAGGAACATGGAGCTCGAGATGGGCTCGATTACAATATGAACGGAAACATGTGGGGGACAGGCCGTTTATCCCACCACAAAATTTATAACCAAACACAATATATATTACACAGTATCCCGAGCGTTATTCCACATGCCATGTGCTGCATTATCCCTGCTGTGCAAATCCTCCATCCCTTCACTGTCGAAAACATCTGGACAGGTCTTCATTCCCCTATTCTATTCACATTCCTCATCGGTTCGACCTTTTCCGGCGCTCTTGCCAAGAAAAACCGTGTGAGTATGCTGCGTCATGCGTTCTGAGCAGTGGCGAGACCTTATCCAAACCGTGAACAAGCTAGCGATGCGAGATTACAAAGGAGTCCGGCCTGATTTCTGAGTCAAAGATGCTCAGTCGTTCGACTTCAAGGGGATCCGATCATGCATTCATTTCCACTCATACAATTTTAGTAGCACAGCGTAAGCGCCCAGTGTTGTTTTCATTGCGCAAGAGCACATTCAATATTTCGAACTGCTTTCGTAGAGCATCACGTCGCGTTTCGTCGCATGTCACATGCTCGCTGCAGTCCTCTGAAGATGACGGACAGGGTACGGAGTGTGGGATCCATTTAAACAAGGACTCTTCAAGAAAATACTTCGCCACGTACGAGTCCTGGCGCAACCCTACTTGGCTGCGTTCTCGTGACTTCAATGATCGTCAGACCTCATCACAGGGTCCCTCAAATGACTCTCAGCCTTTTCTCGATATGTCACAGCCGTACTTTTCCTTGAAAGTTTCGTCCTCTGTCGCTTTGCTCTCGATAATCGGATTTCTGGGCTTTGTATACGTGCGTTTAAACACCCTTGTGTGTGATACGCTGCACACTACAGTCGCGTCTGCCATATCACGGGACCTGAGCATCGGTCGAGTTGTTCGATACAATCCTATTACTGGTATAAAGCTAAGGGACGTGTCCGTAGCACCGTCAGCTGAGTACCCTACTGCCCCTGTCATTTCTGCTACCGATGTGGATATTTCTCTCTCAGGATTTGTTTCGTTCATCTTTTCGCGTCGTCCACTGCTTGTGAACGTTAGACTTGATGGAGCTGAAATTCGGGTGTCGCAAATTGTCGTTGACGGTCCCAAGCATGAACCGGTCGGGCAATGGGATCCTAGTTTTTACCTTGCACGAAAGCAGGACGGGATAGACGAGGAAGTAATACAAACGCTTTTCAAAGTCTTGAAGTACCTGCAACTCGGTAGTTTATCAGTTCGAAACGCACAGGTTTTCTTGCAACCAGCTGACTTTCTCGAATACGGGCATGGGAGTGAAGTGGTTGAAATTCGAGAGGCAAAGGCAGACGTTAGGTTTCCTCGTTTCATGGAAGCCGAAGGAGGATACAATTCATTGATTGAGATGGATGGAGACTTCATAGCTAACGCAAGTGGCACTCCTATCGAAGGAGGCTCAGTTCAAGTCCAATGTCAGATGAGCGGCAACGCGTTGCGAGATCTAAAACCAGAGGATCCCATTGTTAACCTTCATGTAGTTGGCGAGAAAGTGCGTGCGAACCGCGTTGCGTCCTTTTTGAGTCTCCCTTTCCGAGCTGATAACGGCGTTTGCTCGGCTGACATCAACATGGATTTTCTTTACAAGTCGTCCTCTCTAGTGCCGTTGATGCGTGGTGAGGGTCAATTGCATGATGTCGGCCTTCGGTTTCATCCAGATCCAAAGACTCCCACATTTCAACGTATCAACGGGAAGCTGCGCTTCGAGGGTAAGTCTCTTTTCCTGGATGGACCCGTTGGTGAACTTGGAACTCTGCCGATGACTGTGGTGGGGGATATTCATCTCGAGGATGGATATAATCTGATGGGCTATGTTCGTCCTGTTGATATGAATAACATTATCGATACCTTTGACTTGGACAAGTTTGTACCGGTAGAGGGCTTAGCTATAGGCGAGGCCCAGCTTTCCGGTTCGCTTGAAGAACCTATAATTTCCGGATGGGCCGAATCCGTCGGCCAGGACTCTATCTTCGATCGGCTACCGTTGACGCATGCGAATGTGTCGTTTAAGTGGGACGCCATCGCCGGGATGTTGAACTTCTCGGAAATTGAAGCGACAGTCAAGGGTGGAGGCTCTATCAACGGTTCAGGAAGTATTTTCTTTGACATGACGAAGGAATCTCCATACGGTATATCACAAACAGAGCATAGTCCGAGAAGTCCGAAATATTTATACTGGAACCCCAGAGCACCTCAGGACAGGATCACATCCCTTAGCCCTTTGCCACAAGATCCACTAGAAATAGACGAGCATGCTCCCTTTCGTCCATATGATTCCATGCGCTTTGACTTTAAAGCCACTGACGTCAGTGGAGGCGACCTTGTGAAAGCGTATGGCGGCGAACATGGCCAAATGGCATCGGAGGCGATTGGTCTTGTCAGCGGAGAAGGCATTCTAGCAGGGAATGTCGAAGACGCAAACTGCAGGGTTGCGTGGAGGTCCACTACCCCACCTCCAGTTATTCATTTGAATTTGAAAGACTCTGAACTACCAGAAGAAGAAAAAAGAAAGGAAGTACAGTCCAGAGAACTTACCCAGGAAGAAAAAAAACAACATCGACTGGCGCATAGCATTCATCAAAAGTCCCTATCCAAGCCCTTGGAACCGGCTCAGCAACAAACAGAGGATGTCTTGCTCGGAGGAGGAGATTTTCGTGGACTTGTTTATGTCAAGTTGGGAGACTTACCTGACGCAAGGCGAGTGAAAGTAAGGACTATCGTAAAAAATCTAGACGCCAGACGTCTTGCGTGGGCTGATCCAGAGCTACAAAAGTCGATGGCTCATGTACCGTTTCTAAAGGTATCTATGGACACCTACTTCAAGGGGGTGATGTCGCAAAGGCCAAATATGATTCCAGGACAAGTCTCGCAATCCCGAACTCCTCGTATGGAGCTCGTCGGTGTTGATGGAGCTTTGGCTGTTAAGAACTTAACGATGAATAAGGTGAAGTTTGAAAAAATCATGAGCGGATCGTTTTCGTTCAGTGTTTCTGACTTCTCACTTTCGCTGCGGGAAGTGTTGAGCAAAGTTACGCGTAGAGAGGTGGAGAATGCGAGAAATGTGGGGCAGCAAGGGGGTGCAAAGACCACAGGCTACGACGAACTGACATTAACAGCATCTGTGAAGGGAACAGCAGATTTTTCTTTTCGACAAGGCAACTCTGAAGTAATCGCATCCGTTTCCCAAGAAGAACAGAACACCCATCAGGCTGTCTTGTTTGTTCGAAATTTTGCTATTGAAGACGTTGTTGGAGGCGATATTATGTTTTCGAGCGGAAATACTCTGTCTGGGGTAGTGAACGCCAATATGAAGTTAGATCTCTCATCAAGACGAGGCGACGGGAATGTGTCTCTGGAGAATCCGCGCATTGGACCGTTGAACTTTTCATCAGTTACAGGAAATTTAGTTTGGCGTGATCAAGACCTATATCTTGACGGAGGAACAGTTAAGTACCGACGCTCTGTTTATGAAATTGAAGCTCGCTACGATACATCAGCGAAGGATGGAGGATTTGAATGGGAGGTGAACGTTAATATTCCGCGTGCCAGTATTCAGGATGTTGCAACTCTTGTTCAATCAGGGAATGATGTCGCCACTGCAATGCAAAGTCCCACAGACAAGATTTCGCAGAGCCGACAAGAATACTCCGGTGGTCCGTTGTGGATACAAAAACTGTCTCGTTCTGGCTCACGGAAGCAAGGCACTGTATTATACGAGTGGGAAGTGCCAGAGACCCTGACTTTTTCAGATCAACTTGACTGGTTTCATCAGTATCTCGAGGAAAAGCAAAACATTGCCCAGCTGTCGATAGCCAAAGCTTTTGACGCCGCGGCAATGAATCGGCCATCAACATTCGGAGATGTAGATGGCAATATTTCAGGGCGAGTCACTTTAAAGTACAATTCCAGCTCAAGCGAGGTTGGGTCCATGCCGTCAAGTGCAAGTGCCATTTTGCAAGCAATTTTGGATCAGCTTACGAGAACAAGCTTTTCTTTTCAACTCAATGGCACGAGCTGGAGGGTTGGGCCCTCTGTCTTAGAAGATGTGAAGCTCGTTGGAACATTTGAAGATGGGGTTTTAAATGTGGGACCATTAACGTTCAATGGCGGAGATGGGTTTGGTGCAGAAGCTCTAGGCCGCATCACAAACACTGGGTCAGTCAAAGTTTCAGCCAAGCTGCGCAAAGCACCAGCAGATCTTGTCAACCGATTCAGTCAAGCGCCGGTAAATGTAAAAGGAGAATGCAACGGGCGCATAGAGGTTGAAGGGAGCTTATCAAACCCCCGTGCCTTTGGACGAGTGGTCTGGACGTCTGCGACCCTAAACGAGAAACAAGTTCGAGGGGCGAAAACGGATTTTGCATGTATCAACGGACGATGTATACTGAACGCGGATGCCAGAGTTGGAGGACGAAAGGTGAAGACGTCTGAGGAGGCAGAGGAAGAGGCTGTGGCAAAGACTTTGCAATGGGGTGAGGGTGCCCCTTCAGGGCTCACAGATTTAGCATCCCAAGTATCGAGAAAAGACGAAAACACACTCCTGTCAAGAAAGACTAGTGGTGGAAAAGGACAGGGAGAGACCTTGCAAGTTCGAATAAGCGCGCCAGTACGGTTTTACTTGCTGAAGTACCTCAAGAGGCGAGCGTCATCGTCGTTTTGGTCAAACGTTCAACCAGTACTTGGGGGGTCTCTACCGTCAGATGACAACTGGATTTTGATGGACGTCGACGTGAAGAAGTATGGCCTAGTATTACTAAACACTGCTTTCCCAGAACTGGGCTGGGAAAGCGGAGATTCAGATATCAAGTTGCGTGTGTCAGGCACGTTGGCCGAACCGGTGGTTGAAGGCAAGATATCACTATGGGATGGTCGAATTTCCTCATCACTATTGTCAGAGCCGTTGCAAGGGGTTCGTGGGGAAATTGAGTTTCGCAAGACGGGTCTTGTATCAATGAGGTCTGTTTCCGGACGATGTGCCGGAAAATGGTTTAACGCGAGTGGAGATATATTTTTTTCTGAGTTGCATCGAGATAGACTATCTGAAGCCATAGCGGCAGATCACACAGCCCTGCAACTCTTAGAAGCAAAAAATTCTGGAAATAAGAAGCAACGCAGGCTACTTCAGAATAGACAAAGTGCTTCCAACGTTGCATTGTTACGGGGACGACGGGGGTTATCATTAGAATTTGGAGAGTTTCCCGTGAATTTCCAGAACATTGTCCTCAGCAAACTTTCAGGAAAAGTACAAATGGCCGCAACGCTGGCCAATCCAGTCGTTAGTGGCGGATTGACATTCTCAGATGGGTTCATTTCGTTGGGAAACGCAGCGGGGGTGCCTAGAGGTGCCTTAGGAGCTCGAACAAAGAATGCAATGGTGCGCAAGGTTCCGCCAACTGCCGATATGTCGTTGAAAGATGAAAATCACCTTCGAGGAAGGGAGAAGAGTGAAACAGACGAGAACATCAACTTAGAAGCAAGTACAGAACTAACAACACAAGACAAATTGCTCCCGAATGGGGATGCTAGTATTTTATTAAGTGGTCTCCGTATTAACATAGGTCGGGGTATGAAGGTGATACAACCGTTGGTACTGAACTTGGACACTACTGGAACTCTAGTCCTAGAAGGTTCACCGCAAGCCCCACAGATAGAAGGAGAAATTCGTTTACTGCGAGGACGAGTGAATTTATTAGCCACGCGGATGTCGATTCGCAAAGATGCAAAGAATTACGTCAGATTTGTGAAGTCTGACGAGACAAGCCCTTCAACAGCTGAAGATAGCCCAGAGCCTCTCATCAATGCCACCCTCGAAAGTGAGAGGTTGCTTGTACGAATTCCAGAATGCCGTTTATCGAAATGGGCAGAGCATTTAGAAGTGACGGACAGGAGTGGGGATCAGATGAGTGGAGCGACGTGGGACGCGCTTGTACAATCAGAGTTGAAGGAGCTACGCAACCCCGAAGCAGCAGCGAGACTATTTGCGAAGTATGCGTTTCAAGCTGTGGAGGCGGGGGGGAAAGCCGGTAAATTTGAGTGGCGAGTGTTCCCAGCCCTCGTAAAGAAGAATGACGGCAAGTCCGGAAAGCTGAAGGATGAAATCGGAGCTGGCGCGGAAGTTGAAGTAGGAGGACTCGCTATCGGTGGGAAGCGGTCAGTGGATGGAACAGTGGGGGGGAAAGTGAGATTGAGATTACGGGACTGGTTGAGTTGGGAGGTGGAGCAGGAGGGTGCCGCAAACACGAGAACGATCAAGCTGGAGGTGGATTTGACGCCCAAGCGGTGGAACGAGAATATAGGTGGTGATCGGGAAGCTGATGCATCGAATACTAATGAAGGACAAAGTGACCGCCAGAAACGAAAGGATAAGAAGGGGACGACGCGACTGCAGGGTGATACGGGTCCGGACAAAGAAGAAAGCAAAAAAGAGGGAGCCGGAGCTGAGAATACACACAAAGGTCCCTCTGAAACGAAGGTTGTGACGGAGGGAACATCTACAGCAGAGAAAGAACGTGTGGAAGATACAAAGTTGGGGCTGAATGACGCAAGTGAAGGGGTGACTTCAAAGGATGAAAAGACAATTGACAGTGAAAATGCATCTAAGGGCAGCGGAAAGTAGGTTCGGGTCACCCCTTGCCCGAAGTTGTACAAATTATAAAAGAGCACGATAGAGTGATGTGGGAGAAAATTAAGACAAGCACAAACGCCTACCAAGTTTATCCTGTGCCTGCTTTGCAATTAAGAATTTTATAAACCAGCAATCGTTGCCGGACACTGAACAGTGTAGTACGTGCTGTCGAAGGTCAACGTTTACGAGGACGCAAAAGGTAAAAGTTGATCGGGTGAATTTTTGAATGTGAGGGCAGCATTTTGAGTTATAGACGAGGAGCATATGAATGTTTTCGTGCGTGCATGTGTGTGTGCTTCAAAAGTTAGCTGCTATCCACGTTTGCGTACGGCCGTAGAGAAACAATACAACAACTGTAAGGCATTGTCAAAAACTATCGCTCCTACTGAATGGTTCATTTGTAGGATGAAGCAGGTAACTATTCCTTACCTGCAAAACGGTCTGCACGGTATGTCAGCGGCTTATACTTCCTGAAGACGTCTAAGATTCCGAAACTGGTATGCAGCAAGCTTATGAGGCAAGTAATTTAGCGCAGGAATGGCGCCTTGTGTATGCTTTTATTTTTCTAACTTTCAGGCGGAGCCGATGCTATACCACAGGATGGGCTTTTTTATAGACTCACATTTGAGTGGGACATGATAGGACCGAGCCGTGATAAGGCACACGGGCGAGGGTAGCAGATGCAACGCTGGACTATATCGTGCAACTAAGGCGCTGGGAGAGACGAGACTTGGCGGTTCCAAATGAAGTGCCCATGCGATTCGCAATCTGACGAGCTACACAAGGGTAGATGCTCAAGTACAGACGTGGTGCAACATGTGCAAGCATGTGACGCTGGATACACGTATCAGCCCCACCGTTATTCTTAACCAGAATCATATATTAATTGAAAATAGTACTTCCCGATGAGCCTTTGTGCTCAAACTTTGTCGACATACGCGTGGCCTCTATTGATGCAATATTGGAGGAGACGCCCTCCCCAATCAAAGAACAGATGTAACGCCACCTCGTTCGAGGTGGGGCTTAATCCACCCCTGAGTTGCTGTTTTGAGACAATTCCTAACCAAAGCGCATGCACAACACACCATTTTTTATTAATTTTGGGGTGGTATCCCCAGTGTCCCGAGTGCACGATAACGTGCAATCACCTTTCGATGTCCTCTTGAATCCAGCAAGACTCTCGCCCTCACACCGCGCAACGACATCCAAGTCACATGCGAAATGCATGCTTCTTCAGCACCGCCGCGAGCACGGGCTGGCTCTTCCACCTCAGTCTCCCGTTCCAAGCGTCGTCGCCAGGCTGCGGATTCACGAGCAGCCTTCTCCGCAGCTGCAGTTTCCTTAGCGATAGCTCTAGATTCTAAGTGATTCAACACATCCTGACACGTCAATAAGGAACCACCTTTCGTATTGAGCGGTCCATTCTCGGCGACAGGCCCATCGAAGCGAAATAGGTCACGAGTTTTGGTAAAGCTTTCTGTTAACTGCGGGAAAGATTGGAAAGCTGCCTCTCGAGATGGATGGTCACCGATATTAGATATGTCAGCCAACTTGATACCTTCTGGGACGGGGCGCTTGCGCCTCGGGCACCACAATCCACACGCAAGAAACCCACTAACAATATTACTGTAGGTTAAGGCTCGCTTATACGTTTCATGCACCAAATCGCATAATGTATAAACATCGTTGCGAATACTTCCTGCAGAGGCAAGTACCCTGTCATTTACAGCATTTCGAAGATACGTCTTGAATGGGGAAAATATATAGTAGTCCAACACCTGGGTCCGATGGCTGGTATGAGCAGGTAAAGCTATGACGACTGTAGTACAACAACGCGAAGGCAACGGCGCCACCGCTGCCGCCCCGGGATACAGTACGATGGGCTGTAAGCGCGAGACGAACTGTAAGGAGTTATATTTACAGCACACGGCCGGTGCAGAGTACAGTAGTACCCCGCTGGTTACACGTGTAGGATCCGAACGGTAAGTAATTAGTAATTAGTAGTTAATGGCACAAATTAGCCAATTTAGCACAGTAGCTGGTATACAGTAAGTAACAGCTACTGTAGCGGGACAGGTGTCCTGGCGTCCCACTTAGGGGTTAAGACCGGGGGCACCTGCCCCGTTCCAGTAAACGGGGGCAGACTCGCCTCCCTTCCCTTTACGGCTTTTTGCTAACTCCGTCCGGTTTTACCTCTAAGTCTCAGGCTTCTAACCCGTGACCGGCCGTCCGGATCTGACACCACCGACCGGCTGCGCGTCACCGGCCACGTGAGCCTTCCCTCTTTTCGAGTCCTTCCGTACGGTTCGCGCTCGCGTGGGTTACCCAGCGTCGCGCGCTCCCTTACCTCTAACCCCCCCTCGTTCCGAGTGGTCGGGACGAAGGTAGTTTTACCACAACGACTACATTATTGTTCTTCAAAAGCTGCAAGGCTTTGAAGGACTTGTGAGCCCCGTATCCGTCAAACGTCAAAACAATATTGCGGTGCCGTGACCGCAGCTCTGTCGTCGCTATCACAAACAACTTCGCAAACGCATTAAAAATCTCCGTGTCCATACCAGCGGGATCTCGATATGCCACAAGAGCATTCTCCGGCAAAATCATGCTGGTGTTTTTTGGGTCCCATCGGGATGTAGCCTCCACTTAGAACGCTTCCCGGTTAAGATCGCAACTAGATCATACACTCTGCCGTCTGCTGATACAATGGGCATAACAGTGACATGGTCGGCATTCTTTGACCACTTCATCTCTCTTGCGTTTGACCTTCCCTTCTTCTCCCCTACAGCCTTTGCCCGGGCTCTGTTTGTAGTTCTCGTAGAAAACCCAGACTCATCCAGATTGAAAATCTGGGAGCCGTGCGTGATTCCGTATCCCTGATAAACCTGACTCAGACAGGCAAAGTGCTCCGCCATGTTGTGTACGGACATGGCAAGTAATCTATCGTGCTCCAAGTTACACCTCCGTCTTAAGGAGAGCTGCTCATGGCGCTTAAAACCCCGGGAAGAAAGCCATCGCTGGGACGCAGTTACTTAAAGGGTATGGATGCCTGACGGTGTACAGAAAGATGTTGGCAAAAGTGCTGTATTAAATCCTTGAGAGATTCTCGTGAAAGAGGGGTGCCATTTTGAGCGAATTCGATGACTGAATTCACGATAATGCTTTCTTCTTGTTCTGTGAGGTAGTTAGGGTGTCCAGGTCCGATCAGCGAAGGGATGGGGTTGTGATAGTAAAGACGAAATAGTCGACCATGAAACGTCGAACAGCCGGGCGGCCCCGCGGAGGGAAAATTGCTTTGTGACGACAGCATGTTTTGCGTTTCTGAGTCTTGAGTCTTTCATCGCCTTTGGAAGGTGGCGGAATCCTTGGGGGTGCTTCATGATGGCTTCCAGTCGCTGGAGGTTACTTGGATGTCACATGAATGGATCCATGCGTCTAATGTGGTGGCAAGATTTTGTCCTGTGGTCCTCTGATTTGGGCGGGACAGCTCCCGGTCAACATTGAGGCGGGAAATTCAAATATGGAGGCGAAAACGGTTTTCGCTCAAAGCTTTCGGAGATATAGGCCAAGCGAATTTGCCGTATTTATCATAAGTTGAAGTTCACAATAATAATAATAATAAATCTGGCTAGAATAATATCACTGGTTAAGAATTACTGTGCCCGACGATATACTCCGATGGACGATCCCCCAGATCCGTATGTGTCCACGACATTTGTCGCCAGTAGTGCGCGCGACTTCGGAGTGCCTTAAACACAGGAAAGTGTCCATTCCAGCAGAACTTGAAAAAATTCTGAAGACATTCGCTCCTGCCCTCCCCCTGGTGAATAGGGTTGCACCAAGCAGAAGCAAGTGTGAGCCCTGTACGGAGGAAGCCTTACCACAACAAAAGTCCATGAGCAAGTCTCATGCCTGCACACGAGTCCGCTCTCGCCAACAACCCTCGATATGATAACCCGCACAGCGCGAGTAATGAGTCCATGATGCATGTGCTCCAGCCAGGATCCAATCGCCATCTCGCACTCCTCCCTCACCACCAATGCATAATTCCCAAGTGGCACCCGCTCGACCCGGTAGAGATTTACCTCACCCTCCATGCAGATGCTCATCCATCTCACCGGCACTAAGCATTGGCCTTCCCACCGGCCGCAAACATTGCGCCATCCCACATCCGTTTCCGCCGCGAGGATCTCCTGCATCTCCTCATATAAATCCCTCCTTGCTTCGTCACCTGCCCTGCCCCATCGCTCTGCCGTCGTCGTCAGCATCAACACCCACTCCATCATGACTGTCCCCGCCTTCACTGCTCCAGCCCCGGGCCTGCTCTCGGCCACCGCCCGCCCCACCCTGAGTCTCTCGCCGTCCTCCAGCGCCTTCCGCGGCGCCCCCCTCGCCCGCGTTTCCCCCCGCCTGCCCGCCCACGTCGCTCCCCGCGCGCAAGTGCGCGCCACAGCCGTCTCGCAAGTCGCTGTCGATGACCTTGTCGAGCTGCTTGTTCCGGAGTCGCAGCGCCCCGCCAAGCACACTGAAGCCGAAGGCCTGCCCTCCGTCGCTGTATCCGACATCGATATGCAGTGGATCCACGTCTTGTCTGAGGGCTGGGCCTCTCCACTGCGCGGCTTCATGAGGGAGCAGGAGTATCTGCAGTGCCTGCATTTCAACAGTCTGCGCCAGCCGGATGGCTCCGTTGCCAATATGTCAGTCCCGATTGCGCTCGCCATCAACGATGAGCAGAAGAAGGAACTCGACGGGAAGAATGCCTTCGCCCTCAAGAGCCCGGAGGGAAAAGTTGTCGCTATTTTGAGAAACTTTGAGATCTACGAACACAACAAGGAGGAGAGGTGCGCTAGGACCTTCGGTCTCACGGATGAGAGGCATCCGTATGCCGAGATCATTTACAACAGCGGTGACTATCTTGTTGGTGGTGATCTCGAAGTTTTGGAGCCCATCAAGTACGGTGACGGGTTGGACGAGTTCCGTCTCTCGCCAAGACAGCTGCGTGAGGAGTACAAGAATCGCAACGCCGACGCAGTCTTCGTCTTCCAACTGCGCAACCCAATCCACAACGGGCACGCTCTGCTCATGACTTCGTGCCGCGAGGAGCTTATCTCACGCGGCTTTAAGAACCCCATCCTCCTTGTGCATCAGATCGGTGGCAAGGTCAAGGGGGACGATATCCCGCTCGAGGTCCGTATCGCTCAGAACAAGCGCGTTCTCGCCGAGGGAGTACTCGATCCCAAGTCTACCTTGCTCGGCATCTTCCCGAGCCCTATGTTGTATGCCGGCCCCACAGAAGTGCAGTGGCACGCCAAGGCTCGCATGAACGCTGGTTGCCAGTACTATATTGTTGGACGTGACCCTGCAGGAATGAAGCATCCCAATGGCGAACGTGACATGTTTGATCCGTGGCACGGGAAGAGTGTCCTCAGCATGGCCCCTGGTCTGGAAAAACTCGAAATTTTGCCCTTCAGGGTTGCCGCGTATGACAAGACTACCAGCAAGATGTCCTTCTTCGACCCGTCCCGCCTTGACGACTTCGAGTTTATCTCGGGTACCAAGATGCGAAAGTTTGCAGCCGCAGGAGATACCCCTCCTGACGGCTTCATGGCTCCCACGGCCTGGAAGGTCCTTGTTGACTACTATGCCAGCAAGAAGTAAAAAACTCGAAGTGGTCAAGCCCCTGCACTAACCGTGTTGTTTTTCATCGAAATATACTCGCTTTGTCCACAGTACAGCTCTACTCTGTTATAGTTCTGTCTCCGTTTCAGTGCGCTTAGTTCTGACGAAAGCGAGCTCTTTCACATTAATTACTCTTCTTACCATTGCTGCCAGTTTTATTTGTGTGTGTGTGTGTGTTTGTGTACAGTCATTAATTGTCATCGCATATGGAATTCCTGCTAGCTTTTCAGTTTGCTGCTCTAGTGCTGTGCCTTAGTTGTTACCTCGCTTTCACATACCAAGCTCGACGAGAATCCGAGCACCAAAGCGACAAACACATGCAGTGCTATTATATAGAAGAACACGATAAGACGTGATGTCCTCGTGCTCAGTGCCTTCTGCCCTGCTCGAAGCGTCAGCCTCTCGGGTGCTGACATCTCGCTCATCCGTTTGTGCCGTTCCCGTCTGTTGAAGATCGTGTACGGATTTACCATGTCTTCGTACATGGACCGATACTTGCCGAGGAAGTTGCCTGTCCCGTCTTCCTCATCCCCACCGCTGGGAGAGGGTTCTATCGTTACTGTGGCCGCCCCTGATGCTAAAGATCCGTTTGATTGCTTGTAAGATTGCACAAACCGAATCTTTTCATACAGACGAACGTTGTCGCTCTTCAGAGAGTCGAGGTCGCTAGTTAGCTTTTCAATCCGCTCCAAGAGCTTCCTATTGTCTTCTTCAAGCTCCATCAGTCGCGCTCGGAATCTGTCTCGTTGTCCCGCGACGATATCAAGCATGGACGGCTCCTCCCGAATGATGTTCTGCAGACCCTCAGCCTGATGCTTCTCGCCCCAATCCCACGAGCTATCCGCATCTTTCTCTTCCTGCTTTAATGCTTCGAGACTCACTGCCGGGTTCAGATCACCAATGCTAGCCGCAGCCGCTCTCCGTTTTAAGGAATGTACGCCCGCATGATCGCCAGTCATTGCATTGATACCTTCCTCAAGCTTAGAAATCAATGACTTTTGGTCACCAACCTGCTCCTCGAATGACCGTACCATTGCAAGCAGTTCAGTAACTCGTGAATCTCGATCGCCAAGTTCAACTCGTAATCGTGTTAGTCGGCCCTCAAGACTCTTCACTTTGCCAAGCAATCGCTTCTCCAGTGTGTCGCCCACTTTTGGAGTGATACTGTCTTCAGTATCTCCCTCTGCCCCACCGGTATCACCTGCATCCCGCTCGTTTTCCAAAAGCTGGAAGGACTGCAACGTCTCAAACTGTCTACTCATAGTCTCGTACTGCTCCACGGTAGGGAGTTTTTCTAAAGTCCCCCGCAATTCCAAAAGCTCGGTGTCCTTTGATGCGATTGATGCCGAAAGCGTCGCAAATTCGTTGCTCTTCTCCTGGTCCTTCCCGCCGAGGACCTCCTCAAGAGCTGTGACTTGGTCTTTCAGTTGTGAAACCTCCACATCCCTGGCTGCAAGTTCGGCCGAAAGTGCGGATCTTCCAACTGCATCGCTCGCCCCCGCTCCATCGCCCCCTTCTTCGCCGCTGACGTTGAGCTTCTCAAGCTCGATACATCTTCTCCGCCAGGTCTTCACTTCCGCTCGCGTGCGCTCGATGTCTTCCATCGCCATCTCGTTAACGCTTGCTCTTGTACTCTTCACACTTTCAAGTTGAGAGTGCGCTTCGTTAAGTTGGCGTTGCAGGTCATCGACGTCAGTCTGCACTCTCCTCGCGTTTTCATTTCCCAATCGAATCTGGTGAAGAAGCTCCTGCTCGCGCATCTCGTACGCCTCAATAGTCTTTTGCTGCGCGGACACCCACTGGGCCTGTTTCTGCTCAACTTTTGCTCGTGCCTCGCCCTCAACTCGGTCATTGACGCCATTCAACTGAGCCTCGAGATCCTCAATTCTTTTCTCATACCTGCTCGCCGCTGCCGTTCGTTCCACCAAGCCCCCCCTCTCGTCTTTAAGCACGCGCATCTCCTCCCTCAAATCTGATATGGTTTGCATTTGCTTCGCCGAACGCTCTAGTTCCTCGACAGGATCCGGAGCGTCTTCCAACGCCCTGTACAGAGCGAGAAACGAGCCCTCAGCCGCCTTTGCTCTGTTTGTCAATGTATCGATCTCGCTCTGATACAACCTGAGCAATGAGCCAACGTCTTTACTTTGGACGGGCATTCCCTCCGACAGTGACTTCTTAAAGGTTTTTGTCGCCAACGCGAGCCGCTTCCTTGTGGCGGCGCTGGCTTCCTGTCTATCTGCGATGTTGAGACCTTGCGTATCCATATCGCCTCGCCTGCCATTCAGGTCGAACGCCTTCCAAACGTCAAGCGGGGTCTGCGGACGTTGCTGTTCGGCCGAAGCATCGGACGGGCCGGCCTGAGACGAGGCGGCTGCCGCAGCCGGTGCACTATCCGGGGCGCTCATGGCAGCGGTTCGCGGGGAGACCGTTCTTCCCAAACTCGCGAGCGGGCGAGGAGTCGTGGTAGTAGCACGCTGGCAAGAGCGCAGCGAAAGGGAAAAAGACCGTGCAGGAAGCTAGTAGATATCGTCCATCGCTGGTCGGACTACTACTGTGTGAACTTTGCAACGGGATTTAGAGGTCAGCTCTGCACTGGTAGCTGTCAGCTTAGGGCTGGGAGTGTATGATACAAGATTGATAAAGTTGGGATCCGTGATCTGATCCTATGCAGACCATTGGACGATTCCCAAAGATCGAGAACACGCATCCAAGGCATCGGGATAGCACACCATCCAAACTCACCTTCCTTCACTTCCCCCCTTTGCATGCATAAACACAACTTTCCTCCTTCGCTCACCAAGCGATTTTCAGAGAGCTAACTCTCAGTCCGCTTTGCGGACACTTTCAAGATGCTCTGCGTCATACGCGCCCTGCGGCGCGTGCAGGCATCTCCTGCCGTCCTACGGCATCTGGCGCAGCAATCGAGCGGTCCGGCACGCCTAAACGGGGACCTTCTGCGCCTTCATGACGTGCGCCTAATCTCCGAAGCCGGAGAAGATCGCGGCGTGATGCCCTCTCGCAAAGCGCTCTCGGAGGCGCGCGGGCTGGGCCGGGATCTAATGGAAGTGAACGGTCACGCCAAGCCCCCGGTAGTGCGCATTGTAGATTACACCGCGCTACAGTCGGCACGCGCCAAAAAAAGCTACGACGCGCGGAAAAGAGGCAAGGAGAACCGGAAAATGGAGCGTAAGGAAGGGGCCCTGAAACAGGTGAGGTTGTCGCCGTCAACGGACACCCACGATATGCAGATCAAGATGCGGAGGGCGCGCGAGTTCTTGTGTGACGGGTATCGCGTGAGGGTATACATGCAATTTAGAAGGGGGCAAGGGAGGCTGCAGGAAGATGCCAAGGCAGCGTTGGTCGCAGCGGCCGAGAGACTAGAGGAGGTGGGTACGGTAATGGGTGTACCCCAAGGGAAGGAGGTGGCGGATATGTTCAAGGTGGAAAAGGAAGACGAGGAGGCAATGGGAGTGACCGTGAAAAAGAAGCCTTTAGAAATATTGATTCAGCCCCTATCGAGAAAGAAAAGGGAGTTGTTGAATAAAGCGGGTGTGGAAGCAGATGCGTAGAGAGGAAGACGGCTGCCACATTACATGCAGTAAATGCAACGCAGGAAAATAGGTGGCATCGATCAAGAAATATGAACAGCACCAAGATATATTTATAATAGGTCGTTAGAGTCAGTGGTAGGCCCACGCACCACACGCTCTCCTAATGGTGAAGTGGATATCGCATCTTCCAGGATCACAAGAGCTTCTTCGATTTAAAAAAAGTCTTGATGTGGGAGATCTGCAATGTAGCCACCGCCACGAGAATGATGTACGACACAACCGACAGAATAAGCAATCTCCCCCCCGTAGCCTCTGTCCTTGCAACAAGACGTCGCTCCCTCTGCTGCAAGGCGATAAGATCAGCGGCCAATCCCGTCATTATGCGCTCCATCAGCTGCATGCGTTTCGCCACGGCCACGACCCCCACTTCGTTGGCGGGCACGTCCTCCACTGTAGTCCCCCCTTCGATCTGGGGATCAATAGCAAACTGCACGGCCCTCTTCACGCCTGGACGGTGCACAGCATCGTCAAAGGTGAGCAGTAAGCAGGCGGAGAAGGTTGTGGGGGCGTCGAAGTCCTCTTCGTCGTACCCGTAGGCATCTTCGCGACCCGCGGCGCCGCCGTACGGGACTTTAAAGGAAAACTTTGAGCCCGTATCCTTATTCCCGCGGACGGCCTCAAAGACCGTACGGGCGGTTGAGTCGCGGATAGTGAGGGCGAGGCGGGCCTCGCCGACGCCGTTGAGGACGGAGACGGAGCCGCGGATGGGGATGGAGTGCGAGGCGGAAAAGGTGAAGCAGCGCTTCTCGCGGTCCTCTAAGTGGAAGCGCAAAGCGCGGGCGGAGAGGACGTGAAGCGCGAGGAGGACGATGACGAGGTTAGAAAGCGAGAGGTGGGGCCGAACCATGCTTTTGGATAGCCGGATAGCCGGGTGTAGAAGAGAAGGTGGAGAGAGGAGAAGTGGGTCGAGAGGGTTGGGGGTTGGAGCCAAGCACATCAAAGCAAGGCATGGAGCGTGACTTGCTGTAGCGTGTGCACGTGGGGTGGCGTCCAACGGTGGGTGGCCACGTGGCGGATAGATGTGTGAATTATGTCTTTTTGAAATCGTTGCGTTGCCGCCCCTGCAAGCGCTCCACCTCATCCCAGCGCGATCCCGCGTATTGTCCTTTTACTGTATGTTTCTTCTCCGGCCGGAATTTTTTCGTTGCTCCGCGCTGCGCTCCGCCCCGCCAAACTTATTCCGACTATCCTTCTCACATCCCAACCAACACCAACAACCAACGCCCGCCACCCATCCCGACCCCACCTCCCACGACTCCCGCCCTCTACTATATTTCCGTGCTGGTCACCTCGAGACCTGGTCCAGCACGGTCTGAAGCACTCGCTTCGCCACGGTTGACTGCCCCTAGCCACCTAACGGATAATAATTCACGCATACGCCCCTCTGTCAAATTAAGCTGCGCCCACGCACATCGCCATGACGCCAGACAAAGGCTCCAAGGCCCGCGGCATCCTCGATCGCCTCTCCGCGTTGGAGGAGTCGCAGGACGTCATGATCAACAAGCTGCAGTCCAGCCACGCAACCGAGATGGCCGCCCTACGGGAAAAGCTCGCCGCAGCGGAGCGACGTCGCAGCGAAGCGCAGGAGGCGGCAGCCGCCGCAGAGATCGACCAGCCGCCATTCCTCATGCAGGTCGACATGCAGGGCGTCGAAGCCGCGGTCTACGCTGCCTCGCTGGCGGAGCAGGAGTCTGCCCAAGCCCTGGAAGAGGCCCGCGACGTCGCCGAGAAGGCCCGTCTGGCCGCGGGTGGCATCCCACAGGCGATTCGTGAGGCCACCAAGGAGGGAGACCTTGGCTATGGCGCTGACAGTGAGTACATTGTCAAGAAGGTGAGCGTGAATTTGGATGATGTGGAAAGAGTCGTCGGGAGTAGTAACTTGGTCAGCGTGTGTCGCGCGTTTGGGCGCCCGGATTCAAAGTATGGCAACGAAGTGTATTGTGCCGTCGTCCCGAGGAGGAACGTCCGTGTGTCCGAACCGATGCTCGTTATTCACGCCCAGAAGCATCTGCCGACGGCCATGGTGCCCAAGAGGTTCTTCTTCTTGGAGGACCTGCCCTCGGGGATTACGCGTAGAGCGCTCGCGGATACTGAAATTGGCAACGAGCTCGGTAAGAAGCCCGCCTTGCTTGAGAATTGATTTTTTTACCGCTGCGCCTGAGTGCCGACCCACGTCCGTCCGCTTGTTTTCGACGATACAAGTCCGTATTATTACGTTTCCATATTATGCTCTGCTTTGCTCGTCCCTTCACTCGTCGCGGGACGCTAATGGGTATTGTACTGGGATAAAGATTCACGCCGGCTGGCGTGTCGCTCTGTCGTCCTTCGAGAGAGACGCATGCCGTTCTGCGAGGTCGATCTCGCGCTTGTCCGTTTCGTTACCCGCGATCGAGTAGACGAGTTTCACGAGCTGCAAGAAACACAAAAATAAATAAACCACCAACCACACTAACTGAATTGCAAATATTACTTAGGTCAACAACTTACATATTACATTCCTACTCTGAACGTCTTTGAAGAAGTTTGGAAAAATACTATACACCTCACAGCTTCGCTCTTCTTCGCGTCTCCTCTTCCACAACACCAGCTGTCATAACTGTTGGCGGCGTCGGTCTCAATGTTTCCTGTACATACGGTACAAACTGCGGCTTTCTCTTTTCCAAAAACGCCTTCTTCCCCTCCTTACCCTCTTCGCTCTGATAAAACATACGCGTCGCCTCTCCTGCTAGCTGACTCAAGCCTGCATGACCATCGCCATCCGCGTTCATAGCGGCCTTAATACATGCAATCGCAGTGGGACTCTTTTCCAAAACCTGTCTCGCCCACTTGACGGTCTCCACTTCCAACTCCTCGAGCGGCACGACGGTATTAACCAGCCCCATCGCCCTGGCCTCCTCCGCCGAGTACTGCCTACACAAAAACCAGATCTCCCTCGCTTTTTTCTGTCCCACGATCCTGGCCAAGTACGAACTCCCATACCCGCCATCAAAGCTGCCGACCTTGGGCCCGGTCTGGCCGAAGACGGCATTCTCCGCTGCGACAGTCAGGTCGCAAACGAGGTGGAGAATATGGCCACCGCCCACTGCGTACCCCGCCACCATGGCGATGACGACCTTGGGTAGGCGGCGCATCATGATGTGCAAGTCGAGAACGGCGAGGCGGGGGATGCCGTCGTGGCCCACGTAGCCGCCGTGCCCACGCGCAGACTGATCACCGCCCGAGCAAAAGGCGAGCGTGCCTTCGCCCGTGAGGATGACCAGACGGATTGACGGCGTGTCGCGCGCATGCATGAGGGCGTGCTCGAGCTCGCGCAGAGTCTGGGGTCGGAAGGCGTTACGCACGGACGGCCGGCAGATGGTCATTTTGGCAATGCCGTCCGCAGTTCGCTCATAGCGGATGTCGGTGAGGGCGGGGAGAGCGCGGAGGGGGATGGGATGCCAGATGCAGCCCGGACGGATCATCTTGGGGGATGAGGGGAATGACAAAACCAAGGAGCATAGCAGAGCGAAAGTAGCGAAGGGACGGTGAGGTGGTAATAAGAAAGGAAAAGGTGGTTCGAATCCGCCACCATCTGCGAGGGGTCACACGGGGAGCGAGAGATTTGGGGTTTTGGGATCGGTCAGAGCATCTCCGCTGAAAAAAAAATTGGGGTTTGGTCAAAAAAATTTGAGAAAATTTCTTACGTGCCCCTTTTAGTTGGGAATTTTTGTCACGTGCCCCTTTCTTGACCTCACTCCCGAACGATTTTCCGGTAGAGGTTACACAGTGTCTGGGGCTTCGCAAGTCGTAATGTAGTGCCCAACTTGACCACAAGCAGAGCAACGCGACTTTCGTTGAGGCGCTGCGACCCCCTGATTCCGCCGTTTCTTCGGCCGACCTGCCTGACTTAGAACTCTCCACGCGCTCATCTGTCTGGCAATAGGCAGAATCTGCAAATCCACGTTAATGTTTACTTGAGAGGCAAGGGCAGCAGCAGCAACATACTGGCGTTCAAGTGTTGCATGATGAAAAACAGTCTATGCCCACTTTGTGTAAAGATGATTCCAGTGTGCAGCCTCTGGGACGTTGGCCTGCTGCTCGCGTAGCTTATCAAACACTAGCACACGTCTAGGGGCCTGCGCTTTCGTTTCCCATTTATTGCGTCGCAGGAGTGAGCGAGATTGAGTTTTCCCACTCTCCACAAGCCGTTGTTTGCCCTGCGGTCTGGTTGAGCGTTGACAATGTATGAGCACTCCTGAGAGGGGCACTTTATACGCAGGCGCCCAGGGTCTGACTTTTTTACCTTGTGAGATCGGCCCACGGTGGCGCACATAGCTAAGGATTCCATCAAGATGCTGTGCTTGTCAGGGAACGTATACGTTTTGATCATCGCTTCCCAGAATGAAGCTGGCGCTTTCCCTGAGGTTCATCCCCGAATGTGGCTATCTGTTGGGTTTGACCAGTTGAGCTACGACGTATCTTCTGGGTGCGCAGTATGTGCGCAAGGGCTACAAGGATACCAGGGGCATTTGGGAACGGAATGTGAGGCGACGGGTACAAAGTCCAGTGAATCGAAGGACTGCACAAGCACGTAAGGCTCTGCGTCCATCCAAAACCGACGACAGCAAAGAGTTGAGACACAGGGAGGACGTCTTGGTAGGGCGGCTCGACACCGTTCCTGTGAAAGAAACGAAGACGATGGCAGTATACGCTTCATCGGTGGTCACGAAATTGAGCCACGCTAGCTAGTTTAGTGCACGAGTTGGTACGGCTTGGAGCTTGAGAGGTTCATTTGCGCACTACTTAACATCCATCACATTCGAGACGCTTGTTTGTATCCAAGGTATCGCGGACGAACTGCTCCCTGATAACTTTTTTCTCACTAAACGACAGAGTCACGCGCTTTTCTGTAGTGCAATGTGCCTGTCAGGCCGGAACCAGGGTCCAACGGTCCAGCAACAACACAACCAACAAGAGCTGCCGACGGCACAGCCCTACAGAGCATCCGATTCTCTCTTTCCCTTTCAGTGGGTTTGCGTCCCACAGTAGCTCAAATCCCTGATATGGGGGGCCAAAGGAAGATGCCCGGCCCGGGACGAATGGTGGTAGAGTCTTGTACAAGCAGCTACTTGGCAAGTTCGGGGCGGTGATTACAAAGCCGGTCCCGATGGGTCGTAAAGCCAATGCTCGCTGAGCGCCTGGTACACCTTATACCCTTGATAAAGTCTTCGTCGGGGGCTTCGAAACGCATCCCGACCGGAATCAGCAAACACGTGGCAGCGCTACACCTCCGTACTGCCCGATGGCAAAGTACCAACACCGGAACGGTCGCAACCTGTATCCAATAGAACCAACACTGTCCTGTATACACAACAGGACCTTCGAGGGAGACGTCGTCGCAACAGCCTCCGTCGGGGGACGTAAACAAGTAGCAGCGCTACACTCACGGGTCGCCAGATGGCTAAGACACCTACACCGGTCCGGTTGCAACCAAAGCCGATGGCACCAACAACAAACAAAAGAACCAACACAAGAGCCCGATGACTCCAGTCGTCACAATGCAGATCTCAATCAGGCACTGTGAAACCAACACAAGACAAGGGAATAGAAATAGAGATAGAAATAGAAATGGATAGGTGAAATAAAGGAAAACGAAAGGGAACCCCCGAGCGCAAAGGATAACGTAATCTGTGGTAAAAGGGAGCGTCTTGGGAAAGACGGACTTCGACCAAGGCGATATTCAACTCTGGCAACTCGGGTTACCTTTACTGACTTGGTCGTCAGAGGGTTAAGGTATATATCGCCCCACCGGAGCCACTACAGTAGCTCTCGGCGCTAAATCCTAGATCTAATCTAATCCTAGATCTAATCTAATGTTAGATAACTAATATGCAACTAATTGAAATTAATAATTAAAATAATAAAGTGAAATAATTTTCATGTCATCCCCCCAATTTGTCATACCCCTCAATTCCTTTTCTTTTCACCCCCTCACGGTGTAGTCGATTATTGCACTACATATCTCCCTTCCGAGCGCTCTTGTACGCCGCTCCGCCATCGTATAATCTCCTCGCCGTTTCTCTCATAACCCTACACCGCCGTGTCCGGTAATCGGTGATAGTGCAAGAGCAAGACGGGCCTCATGTTTCCTTCATCCCCGAGCCATTCGAGTGGTGGTTTCAAACGCAAGCGCTACGGCGTGGGCTTTTCTTTCACTTCCCACGACCCTCTAGGTCTTCCTTCCATCACTCGATTACCCCCTGATTTTTTCACTTTGACTCATGCGCCCCATCACTGCTGTCGCTTTCTCTCATCGCCAATTTTCCTCCTCTTTTCCTCATGCGCCCCATCACTGCGTTCGCACCTTCTCCTTTCCACTTTCCTCCTCTTTGCAACCCCTTCGAAGACATCATCGGATACCTGCTACTTCTGTTGATTCGTAGTCCATGTAAACACGTAATTGCTGGGACGAACCAGTTCCCTGACAGGGAGTCTGTCCTTCTGCGAATCTCCAAACCAGTGAGCTACCTCGATCGACTTCTGTACCGACCACCCCGGGCCTGCATACACCAGTGTCGCATGTCTCCTCCACGTCGGGGAATAGGCGGCGCCCCCTCCTCAGTCTGTTTTGCACTTGTAGGTGGTCTTCATACTCGAGATCCTTTTTGCGAGTTTCACGAATGCGATCACGACTCGACCCACTTTTTCTTCCCCCCCCCCCCCCCCCCCCCTTTTTTTGCTTCGACGGCATCAATAAATTTCCTCGTTGAGGTCCGGCGGCGAGGGGTAAACGCTCCCTTAGGGAAAAAACTTCGTCATCGCTTTGGGGTAATAAATGATTCTTACAACCGGTGGTGACTCGTCCGGGGTTCTTTCGCTAGCAGCGAACTGTCTGACATTTTGGTTTCTCTGCTTGGGCTCGTTGACGGTGTCACTCCTCACAACCCTCCTGACCTTCTGCGCTCCTTACAAGCCGTTAGCCCTTTCCAAATTCTCCGTCCTTGCGGCGGACTGTGGGTCCCACTGCAGCACTCGTCGTCGACGTATGATGTGGGGTTGGCGTCGTGTCGCAGAGTCGTAGTTCATCCAAAAAGAAAAAGATATATGGAACGGGCAAAGGAGAGGATTTTTCCAAAGAAAACGAAAAATAACACGAGCGTGGTCAAAAGGAAGAGAGAGGGGCTCTCCCTCGTCGTTGTAGCTGGTCCCACTGTGGCAAAAGCAATAGGTGGGGGATGCGAAGCTCTTGACTCTGTTATGAATAATATGGTCACAAGTTTCCTCCGTAGATGGAGGGGGTTGTATGAGACGACTTCTTCGAAGGTGAGCTCAAATTCTTCATTCCCAGCTTGATCCTCCCCGCACGCCGATTTCTCATCGTTTGGGCTGAGGAAACATCCCCTCTTTCGATCTCCTCACGCGTGGATCAATCCAGCGGCTGCTCCACCCGGATCGGGTGTCGTTTTCGTGATTGATGAACCCGCGTCGCGAGTCTCCAACGACCTCCTTCTACTCTCGCATCACTTACACGCCACATAGCATTCCTTCGACACTCCTTGACATTTTTTCACAGCGATCGCGACGTACATCTCTCAGGCTCTCCTGTAGCTTTGTATTGACAGTAGTCGACAATCATCGTTTCGACCAGGTACTCGGTCTCCTTCCTCGCTACTGGCGCACGCGGATGACGAGCGGGGGGAACAACGTCGAAGGTGACGTCACCGTACAGGGGAATCAGAAACTCCCTCTGAGGGGGTTCCCTCCAAACATTTCACTTTTAGGCGGGTGCTGCTCCGGATGGTTTGTGGTGTCCCTTGCTGTACATACAAAAAAAACATAGCAGCGTCGAGGAATCGACAAAAGCTAATTAGGAAGGGTCTCCCCTCGAGTTGACCTTCAAAAGTGTTGGTCCAGTCTCCGGGGTGTGACCCGTGTGTCGCACGTCCGTTCATAACACGGTAGGAGAATTTCCTCGTCAGGCCGTCGGGGAGCCCGAGTATTCGTGGATCGCGTTAGAGCTTCTTACGTCGCCATTCCCCTTTTTTCTCTCTTCTCGATTACCCTCCTCTTTTGTCTTTGCTAATCCTGAGGGACTTGCAGATCGGGGTACATCGTACCGGTACACTGCGCCACGTCGTGTCGTCGACATCACAAACTAAAAAAATAAAAGCAAAAACAAAACAGAGATTGAAACAGAGCCCGACTACACAACTGAAAAACAATCGGTTGACCTTCTTGATGACGGCGTCGACCATATTTTCGTCATCGACGTAGAGAAAAGAAAAGCAAATGATTCACTCACTCCGTGCAGTATAGGTCCGCTTGCGTTAACTCACGCACGTTTCCCAGACGTTCGTGCGACTGAACGACCGACGGCCGTCTCCCTGGCATGTACCTCGATCATGCGATTCTCAATGAGTGACTTGCAGAGCGGCGTCCGCTGTACGGAGTCATGCTCCTGTCTTCACATCACAAATGAATA